CAAATTTTCAAATTACAAAGTAAATGAAAGTTAGTATCAGCAATTTCTTATGCTGAAGTGTACGATGTGTTGCATACCTATTTACAAACAATTCCTTTAAATTTTAATCATTGATTACTATACATCTATTAAAAAACCATAATGGCCGACATCAGTGACAATGCGACAACAATTGAAAAAGAATGATGGCCGACAACAGCAACAATTAGAAAAGAATGATGGCCGACAACAGCAACAATTAGAAAAATGATGGCCGACACTACGTCATAGTATTGTTCACAAAGGTGAATTTGGATCGTTCGAATTTTGTTTTGTTAACAGTTTCGAGCTCACAGTGACTGATAAGGGAAAAGAACTTGTAATACTAAAGATTATTTCAATGAAATGTTTTTGGGAAAAGTTCGAAAGTTTGATGTAATAAATCTGCGGCCGTCAAATGAATTACAAGTAGGTAGGTACAATAGTAACCCATCTACTCTATCAACAGAACATTAAGTTTGTATCGTTTTTAACTGTATTAAACTTTAGAATTTATTCATTACATGTTATATTATTACACACATTCGTATAACAACACATAACATGATTAATAACTTATATTTATAAAAAATAATAGGTTCTCTAAGAATAAAAGGTAAAAGTATGTACCATTTTTTATTTCAGCAGATATAATTTTTAAACTTTTTTTTTAATGCTATTTGTATGTTTTCTTGTTGTTTTTAATTAATTGCTTGTGCAGACTGTTGGCTACCACTGAAAACTCATCTGTTGAGACAGTCCAAATAATGTAAGGTTAATGTGAAATTTTTGTCATGTAATTTGTTTTTTATAAAGGTCAGGAAATGTAAATAAGGAACAGTAATTGTATTATTAATGTTTGATAAGTCGTATTATCGTATTAACATGCCATACTATCCAATAAATGATTACTAAGTGTACAAAGTAAGTTTAAGTTGCTGTTTGTGACATGGAAGAACTGCCAACAGAGGTTGTGGAGCTTATTCTAGCTCAAAATAAACTTAATATAGAAGATATACTTAATTTTCGTGTAACATGTTTGCGATTTAAAGATGTTGTGGACAGTAGCAGTTTTTTGTGGAGGAAGAAATATTTAAAACTGTATGTATCACTTTCATGGGAGTGTACAATATTGTATTGGTATTTGTCTTTATTTTAGATTACCAATGTTCAAACACCTTTTCGGCGATGACTTTAGCGACTGGTATGAGGAAATTAAATATTATTATGAAGTTAAATACAAGACTTTACATATGTTATCTACCATGTCATCCAGATTTTATCATAAGAGTGAACTATCTGCTGTGGATTTGGAAGAATGGAAGCTGTTTGCTTTTGGAAGGGCTAGGACATATGATTATCTTGTATGGAAATTGTGTGAAATAGTCAATTGTGATTACCCCATAAAAAGTATAGAAATTGTGCCACCATGGTAAGAAATTGTCATCTAATTTAGATCAAAATAATGTTGTTTTTGGGAGAATTTTCAAGCTATTGCAGTAACTTTAAAGGAGTTGTCTTCAATATTTTAGTTTTTATAATGAAATCTTCTAGTACACCAGGAAATTTAACCACCAAGTATTATGCATTGAAGGTTTTAAAGTTTTTGAAACAGATACGGCTCTCTGAAGAATGGGAAACTTTCATAGCTTTGCCCAAAGAACTTCTTATCCTTGAATGGGGGGCCACATTTGTTGCTCAGTGGTGCCTGCCACATTTAAATATAAAGCAGCAAGACATTAGTAAACAACTAGATGAAATTGCAGAAATGGTAAAAGACCATTTGAAAGCTTTAAATCCGAATCATCCTATATTTGCTCTGCCAAAGAAAGAATTAGAAGGATGGAGAACTCACAATATTACAAGAAATCAATTTAATACATTTTATTCAAGACAAGCATTGGAAAGTATTAGGAATGTCCTTTATCAGCAGTTAGGATTTCATGGGAACGAATGTGATTATTATGAAGCAGATAATTCATTCATAAACAAGGTGGCATAACGTGACAAACAAATACATAATTAAGTTTATTTTCTTATGGGTAAAAATCATTTTCAGGTTTTGGAAAGAAGAACTGGTCTTCCAATAACTTTAGCGATAATTTTCGAAAGTATTGCAAGACGTGTGGGAATCAAATGTGAACCTATCAGTTTTCCTTCACATTTTCTACTTCGATACAATGAAGAGGGAAATTTCCCTCCTTATTACATTGACGTCTTTAACAATGGCGACATGATTAACAGGTACACATGTCCGAGAGCTGCTTCAAGCAACAGAGACACCCAGTTACCTGCAGCCACTTTAAAACAGGTCTATTAATTATTTCCTTTATGGTAGAACTTTTCAAATTAATAGATTTGCTTCACCAGGTCATGGAACGTATGGCAAACAATTTAGAAGTCAATATTCGCCAAAACATGTACCCTAATGTGTACCCCGTGTCTTTAACAACCGTTTTGGGTCTTCAGCAGCTCACGAACCCTACAAATCTTACAACAGCCGTGGAATTAGCACGACATTACATGCAACACAACCTGGATTCAAAACCTCTTATCGACAAACTACTTAAAATTGTACATATTTTGTATAATAACAGATTAATAATTTTCTTCGAATTAATTTTATCTTAATTAGTTCCAGAAATCGCCTGAAAATGTAACAGGGGGGCAACGAGGATCGTCTAAGGGTCGAAATGGTAATGATGATGAACTTCCAGAACATGTACAAAGAATATTGAGGATGCTTAGTGATTATGAAGCACACAGGCAACAGAATGAGATGTTTCTGTTTGCACAGGTATTCTTAGATATTTAGGGAGAAAAAACCCTACATTACAACCCTTAATTTTATAGACTCAGCCAAAGTCTAGGCCCCCTCAAGTAAAATATGCAGTAGGTATGATAATGCAACACTTGTCTTTGACTTATATTTGCGTGATTTATGACTGGGACCCCATTTGTAAAGCATCCCCCGAATGGCAGAACGATATGGGGGTGCACAAGCTAAGATATAAAGATGAACAGCCATTTTATAATGTTTTAGCTCAAGATGGGACCCGGAGATATGTTGCTCAAGGTACCTATCTTTTGTACATTCTTCAATTTCTTTCTTTTTTTATATTTGTTATTATTTGGCTATTTGTGGGGATAGAATAAAAAAAGAAAAAAATTCTTTTTTTAGAAAATTTGTTCCCCACGCAAAATCCCTCTACTTTGCACTCTAATCCGAATATAGGGAAATATTTTTCCCATTTTTTTGGAAACATGTTCATTCCTAATCATGAGAAGGAGAAAGAGTATCCTTTAGATAGAGATATCCGACTCCGATTTAACGCCAAATTCCAATTCCAAAAGGTACCATTTCCATGACTAAAATAGACCCATTTTATTTCTAGGTTTATATGTGGTTGGTATTGTAAATAGCATAAATATATCTGTTAAAATTAAAGTCTGAAAGATTATTAAAATGTACAACTATGTATATAATATAGTTATCAATAAGTAAAATTTTTGTATACCTCTTGGATTTGTTTTCATTTCATCCTTTAGGATTAAATTAAAATAAAATTTTATTTAATTAACATATAGATATCCAATAACAAAATCGTAAAAATACATTCTTTTGAATCCAGTGTTTTGAATAACAACAATATTACAACTATGCAGTAAAATTTGCACTTATAAATGCTAATTAATTATAAATATATTTGTCCAAGTTGTTCCAGCTCCAAGAATAGTCAATTTGTAGATGACCGCATTTACTTAATCGAAAATGTGGCTTTGAATGCCTCACATCATCATATATTGGTATAGTTTTATCAGAATCTGCCACCATATCGTTTAATCTAGTGTAAACGTCGTTTACAGGAAGGTACCGATCATATCTAAAAAAAGATCAAATGAGACTTACTTGCTCGAATACTTCTATAATTACAGATCCATCCACATTTATCATAGAAATATCTATCTCATCTATTAATCAGAACTATTTAACCTAGAATTTCGTGTTGTCAAAGTCGTGCTTTATATGAAGTTTTCACACTTAAAAATCAAATTATTTAAAGTTCTTTAAATATTTTCAATACTTTTGTGTCTTGTAATTGTAAAAAAATATAAAAACATGTTAAATCACGTATATTTTGTAGTGATGATAAAGTGGGGTTATTAGTTTAAAAAAACACAAAAATACAAAAATATTCCTTTAAGTCTTTAAGAAAACCTATATAAAACAAATATGAGGAGTATCAGTAAATGTATTGGTCTATGTAAGAAATTCTCTGTTGGTTTTCAACCCCAAACAAGACACATTGGACTTATACCAATTGTAGTAGAACAAACAGGAAGAGGGGAACGTTCGTACGATATTTATTCTCGTCTGTTAAGAGAAAGAATAGTTTGTTTGATGGGACCAATAAATGACGCCCTAAGTTCTCTTGTAATAGCTCAACTGTTATTTCTTCAATCAGAGTCAACTTCTAAGCCGATTCACATTTATATAAATTCACCAGGAGGCAGTGTTACAGCAGGGCTGGGAATATACGACACTATGAACTACATAATGCCCCCAGTAGCTACATGGTGTGTTGGACAGGCCTGTAGCATGGCATCCTTACTTTTGGCCAGTGGTTCTCCAGGTCTTAGACATTCCCTACCAAATGCAAGAATTATGATACATCAGCCTTCTGGTGGGGCCCAAGGACAAGCCACTGACATTCAGATTCATGCAGAGGAAATTATTAAACTGAAGAAACAAATAAATGGTTTGTATGTGAAGCATACAGGACTGCCATTGGAAAAAGTAGAAAAATTAGTTGAGAGGGACACATTTCTAAGTCCCGTAGAAGCCAAGAAGTTGGGAATTGTTGATGATGTACTGACTGCCCCACAGAAGAAAATTTTCAAAGAATTACTGGATTCAAAGCCCCAACCTGCAGCTGTTACAGCTAGTGCTCCATCATCATAATGTCTTTAATCTTTTTTGTTTATTTTACTATTTTCATTCGCAAATAAATTAAAAAAAATATATATTCTCGTATTTTTCTTTACTTAGTTTTAATTTAAAAATGTACTTACTCCTGGTCTCCAAGACTATAACTTGAACTTCGATCTCTCGATGGGTACATGGGTGAATTTTTGTTTGGTAACTCCCGTCTGTTACTTAAAAATGTAAAACTGTTGTCTTTTTTTACATAATTATTAAT